TTGGTGCTTTATTTATATGTGAGTTTCACTGAACGATGAATGCAGTTTAGCCATTCAGTCAATGTCAACATAATGCAAGCAAAACAATAAATTTCATTGATGCGGCGCTCATTTTTGCAACATCGTTGTGTATTGTTGTCATTTCGAATTTGTCCATTATTTTGAATGCAAAGCGATAATCTATGGGAGGATTAGCTGTGCGCAACATAAATGCGAACAATAATAAAAACAACAGCAAAACACATACAAATACACACACACAAAAAAAACAGAAATGTGTAGCAAAAATAACGAAAGGCGATAGCTACTGGGTGAGAGAGAGATAAATGATTGTAAGACTAAATTGAATCTACGAGCAAATAGATTAATGACGTCGTCTCGTGCATTTGCAACCGCATTGTTTTCTTTTTTTGAACATTTGGCACGTTTGGTGCATTCACCACTCTGGATATATTATTGGAAATGGTGAATATGTCTGTGCAGTGCGGACGTTGGCACCCCATCGTGTTAGAAATATGTTTCGCCAAAATGTAACGAAATAAAACAAATAGAAGTGCGCTCGATTGTGGATGTCGCCACCGATTCCACCGCTCCATACTGGAAACCACCGCCAGACTTCTGCTTTCGAGACAAAGAAACTCGAAAATAAATGTTGTTACTAACAAATAAAAAAAAAGGTCATAATTGTAGCGCAGCCCAGTCAGAATCGACTTGGGTAATGTAATACAATCAATAACGATCTTTTAAATGCAATTTTAAGATACCTTTGCTAGGTAATCTTGACATTTCAAAATGACCAATTAATAACAGAACCGAGAACGTTTCGAGCAAACAATGACGACGACAACAACGAAAACCATTTCGATAAACTCGATCCTTTCGACGTTTTAAACATTATACAAATGGAGCCATCTATAAAAGCCTGTACGCGTTGTGTAACAAAAATAATTTGCTCGTTTGACCATCATGAATTTTACTATCTTACCCGATGATCTCGAACCACATGGTTGTTCATCTTTCGTTGTTTTAAGTTTGTTCGCTGTTCTTTTGTTGGCGTCATAGTCGTCGTCGTCGCTTTTTTTTCTTTCAGGGCGGAGACGGCCAAAGTTTCGATTAAAGAAGAAAAACCACTTTATTAAATCGAAATCAGTCCAATTTCAAGTTTAATGAAGTAAGTTTGAACGTATTTTTCTTTTGTTTTATTTCGTTCACGCCATAACATAGGCAACGTTTACACAACGAAACGTTTCTATCTCTTACTCAGCCATTTTGCCAAGATACCATTATTTCTATTTTTTTCATAGACATTTTTATTCTTGGAAAAGAAAATATTTTCGCTCTTGTAACTAATTAAATGCGAAGAAAAAAAAAGCTGATCGAATTCGCTAAAGCAAAGGATATCCGAACTGAATAAACGAAAAGTGCTTGAAATTGAGCGCAATTTTAAACTAATCATTTATAACACTTATCATTTGCACACAAACACACACACACACAAGCACACTCTGTACACAGTACAAGAGAATCAAAAAGTTCCGTGGAAAAATTTGCGATAATTTCCGGTTTATAAGAAGAGGCTGTGGCAGCAGCCCTGAGGGTCAAGAATAAGAAAATGCGAGAATTTGAGTAAAATCGAAACGAAGAAGTGGCGTATGCCAAAAGCTTGAATCAATTGAGAAAGTAGAATAGGATAAAGTTTTCTACTTTATTTAATAAAAATTGATGAATAACAAGGAAGTTTGAAAAGTGCGATATCTTCCGTAATCATTATTCAGATACATTTATTTAATATACAATTTATTTGTGCCGACAGCGAGTAAGATAGCGTGAGTGGTCACATTGATTCGATGCAATTTCAATGCATTTTCGATTCGATTCGTTTCGATGGTGTGAGTTATTCATTGTGTTAAGGTGCATCTCATCTCGTTGTGTAAATCATTATGAAGAAATGAGCTGAGATGTTTCAGCCAAACTTTTCAATACAATAAGCTGGAAGCTTTCAAGAATGAAAAAACTTTTCAAATGGATTATTATACGATTTCCTGTTCTTCTTTTCTTTTCATTTGCATCGCAATTGTTTTCTTCTCTTTTTTTTCATTTCGATTTTCTTTCGTTCAGCATTGGAATTTTAATTGTCGAAGAACAGTTTCATTCGTTCGTTCCAGAAAGGGGAAAAAAGAATGTATACCAACAACATAAAGTGCGTTGAACGAACTGAACGGCTGCTGGTTTGTCTGCTAAAAACTCGCCTGTGAAAGCTTTCAACGAAACAAAATGAAAATAACAACTTTGTAATAACGTTAAAGTAGTGCCAAAAAATAAATAAAATACGTAATAACAATATGGTGGAAAGATTGCATATAATTTTCTTTTTAGTAAGCATATTTTCCGATTAATATTGTCTACGGGCGCGACTCCTTTCAACAAAACAAGCCAGTGTTGATGCGCGAAACGACGCGTTACTCATTCGCATTTTTCGCTTGCAGCTCTTTCGCTCACTTTATTCCGTATTTCGTGTAGGGCATTGTACTGATGAACATTTGCCGGTTCTCAACACAATTGTGTATACGCACACTGTTCAAAGTGGATGATCTAAGAGCTAAAAAAAGGAGATGTTTTGTCGTTTTCACTTCGTATTTATTCGCTTCTCTTCGAAGATTGGTTTTTTTTCGCTCGTTTTCTTCTTCTCTCTTTTTTGCACATACATTAAGTAAATACATTCGCATTATTCCTTATGCTCGGAGATATTATATAGCTCAAGGAGAAGATTTAATTTTCTCATTAAAAATAATATTCTACCACTTTACATAGTTATAATAACGGAAAGAGAAGTACAATTCCACCATAAAGAAAGTATTATTATCATCATTATAATCATCATCGTTGGTTCTGGTTGTTGCCGCGCTATTGCCATCGACGCCACGACGTTTATCTTCTCTTTCTCTCATCTTTTTCCTTGTCTTGAATTTTATTCTGCGTATTTCCTCCTTGTTCATCTGTTTTTCATTTGTTTTTTTTTCACATTTTTTTGGCCATATTTTTTGTTGTTGTTTCTTTGCTCATCTCGATTTGGTTCCTGGCATTTTTGCATTCCTTTTCTTTGACAATAGAAGATAAGAAAAAAAACCAATTCGAATTTGCAATGCTATAAAAAATGCTTTCTTATGCCAGGCTTTCGTCATGGATGGCTATAAACATTTCTAAATAGAATTAAATATCTTATGGCTGGTCGTAGTGATGTCTGCGACAATGGTTGCGCCATGGACTCGAGAATGCCACGTCAAATAGTAAATACAAATGAATTTTCAAATTATAATGTGCCAACACTTTCAAATCATTTTTTCCCCTCCCCCCTTGCTCACTCTATCTCTCAGCTAATTCACAGTAATTTGACCAATTTGCTTCAATGGTTTGGTTCTTGGATGTTAATTCATTGGGTGGACTGTGTAATCTTACACAATTTGAATTATACTTTATGATTATTTACACTAATGTCTAAACTTTTGCAAAATAAAACGCACAACACTTTGACAATAACGCGTGACGCGCGTTAAACAAACTGCCCAAATAATAACCTACATAATGTCTATTTTATATCCACCATTACATAAACCGCTTAAATTATGAAACCGTCTTATATGTTGAAAAGTCATTTTTGTAGACAATGTTCATGCAACCGCCCAATATGTATAGCAAATCGTGCACACAACTCAACAAGTATATGATAAAAATGAATACGCCCGCAATCTCTGTTATAAACAATTCACAACCGGAAAGCCCAACAAGATTTCGTCCAAATAGATAAGAACATATTTTGCAAATGCGCACGCAATAAATAACAATGCCGTTATTATGTACAGCAGAGGATGGAATGTGTCACAACCAATTCCAATTAGCACATTGTTGCCAGCCATAAAATGTTTTCATACACACACCGGTCCAATTCCATCGCTTGGACATACTTTCTTGAATGCGTGTATAACATTCAATTTCAACAATTTATTCAATTGTAAGCTCATTTGGTCTGGGTGAGCGGAAGCACGCCAACAACAAAACACCAAAAATTAAACTTAAAGAAGAAAAAAATCAAATAATCCAAATAAGATTGCCACAGCATTCTTTCAAAGTTCTGGCCAACAACTTTGAACAAAATAAAATAAAAATGTGCGACAACAAAAAATGTCAGAACAAGATGAGAAAAAATTATGAATTAAAAAATGCAGGCGCTAACAAATGAGAAAAAAAACAACTGCAACACTGCACACAGTCACACAAAAGATGAAATTGAATTGACGATGACAGCCACAAGAAAAAAGAGTGCACGCACACGCATACAACTATAAATAAGGAGAGAATGATTTTGAAAGAAGCACATGAAAATCATTGTGCCATTTCTCATTTCGTTTATCTTCTTGCTTTTCCTTATTATTTCTCGTTTCTCACAGCTCGAGATTTCCGATAGCTACGCTTTTTTCCCCTTTACCATTCCTCTCGATCTCTTACGCTGCACACTACGTGTGTGTATCTCATCTCGTTCGTGTTCATTTGAGATTTTCTTTTAATTTCTTTTATATTTTCTCATTTGCTGTCTTTTTTCCGTTTCTCTATCGTTTTGGTGCTATTTCTATCTCTTTTTATAATTCGATTTTTTTTCTCGCTTGCATCCGTTACTTATTCTCGTTGTTCAATTATAGTATGTCGTGTTACCATAGTCGTAATCAGCGAAAACTTTTCATATTATAGCAATAATTCTTATTAAAACCATTAAAAACGAAGACGAATGACAAAAATATGATAAAAAAAGAAGAAACGAGAAATTTCTTAGCAAAAAAGCGGAAACAAAAGATTGTTCCTCGCCTCCCGTTCACAACTTCTTCTGAATACATCGAATATCTTCTCACTTTTTGTTGCCGTTTATTCATTCGCATCAGAAAAGATTTGACAACAGCAATAACAACAACAAAAAGAAAATGGAGCTGAAATGATGCACAGTAACTTACCTTATTTGCGGGCCAAATGGATCGTCTGTTGATGTAGAACCGGCACACGGCCAATGGATACCTCAAGATACCAAATACACAATTTGTGTCGTCTGTATGTTCAATAACCGATGAAAATTATTGAAACAGATTCCTAAATAGAGGAAGAAATAAAGCATAAAGAGAAGAGATAAAAAAACGAATCGTTGCATTTATAGTTTGATAGTGCTATTTGTTATTTGTTTTAACATTGAAACGACAAAGAAGAAATAATACAAAACCAAACAATATAAAAGATATTCTTCAATGCAGTCAGTTGAAATGGTGGTAAAGTTTGCTTGGTTGGGATTGCCATTGCTTGGTCGAAGAATGATTATATCGAGCGCAAGACAGGAAATTCTCATTATGTTCTCTTTTCTTCATCAATTCTAACTAAAACAATAAGTTGATAATGAAATCGGAATTGTCATTGGCCATGGTAAAACAAGCACACTCTGTTACACAAACCGATTTTAGCGATTATGTATTACATGATTACGGTTGTCATCCACTTCCGCTAACTCATTATTTCTACAATTAATTTCATTTTTTTTCTCGAGCAGACTTTTTTTTATGCATTATTGTCACCGTTGTTGTACATACTCCGCTGGGATGTTGCCAGTACATGAGTCGATCCTCTGTGCATGTACATTTGTTTGTATCACCACAAAATGAACAATTGTCGATAAATTAAATTTTAAATTAAGCTAATTAAAAACATCGGGCACAAATATTTCATTGAATAAATAAAATGAAGCGCAGTAGTCATGAGCGTAAATCACATGGAAATTACATCGACAAACAATGAATGTGACGGTTGGCAATTGGACGCTTCAAACGTTTAAATATTAAATAAATTTTTCCAAAATAAATAATTCTAATTATAAAGGCCTTTTTCATTAACTTTGTGATAGGTTTTTTTTTGTTGTTAATTTCGGGCAATGGATTTGCGTTTGGTTTCAAGTCTTTTCGACGTACCCTAATGTATTGAAGTTGTGTTTTTTTTACATGTGTAGAAAAATTACCATGTCGGGAAAACGTTCGAGTTCGGTGGCGTCAACACGAAAAATGACGAAATGGTACGGTTATGGTAGAGTGAGAGAGAACGAACGAGACAATGATAGAGATATGAGAGACTGAATTTGCAATTTTGTAAATGCTAAATTATTGGTGAAAATTTTGTGCATAATACATTATAACCGAGAGAATGAATTAAACAAGTGTTTTCATTATTTGTTACTTCATTTTGTATGTGTTTTCACTCACTCTATATTTGATTTCTGATTCTCATTTACATGTTTTACCTGCTGTGAAACAATTTTACAGCCCGAGTGTTATTGTGCACGATTGAACATGTATATATATATAAGCGCCCACTACACACGACATTGGGCAACTTGTTAAAAACGATATAAACATGGATCAAAAAATTAATTTTTAATTTATACGAAGGTTGCTCCAAAAATTTTGGGATCTCATTGACAAAGGAAAAAAAAAAGCAAAATCCGAATATTTTTCATTAATGGATGCAATTTAATCAATTCGATTACTAAGTGGGGTCAATATGACCTCAGTGCTGAAAACTTTTTATGACCTTCAGAAAAATTGTGAAAAAACGCGAAAATGTTCAGTTTTCTTTGGTTTTTCTTCCATAATTGTTAGGAAAGTTGGGGTTAAATTTAATGAATGATCAAATTATGTACTACCTTAGCATGCTAATTGGGAAATCGTTCTCGAAACTTTTGGAGCATCCCAGGTATTTTTAATCGTTTGTTTCTTTGTTATTCTGCTGCCTGAGTGCGTGGGTGTATGCGTGCATACGCCAATAAACATTTTTTGCGTAAATCACAAAAGGGGAAAGAATGATATGATCGAACCGGAGGTATTTTAGCCATGTTATATTTTTATTGTTTTCCATACGAAATCGTATGTGCTCATACTTTTATTGCCATTACGTTAAAATGTGTGTAATGCGTATGATTAAAAAATCATTAAATCAATTATTATTTCATTTCGAAATGGACTTTTCAAATGTAAATAAAAGGGAGTAGCTCCAATGTTCGAGGGCACGCACGCATATGCACTCTTTTCTCTTTTGGTAGCATTTTTTTTTTTTTTTTGAAAATTGTGTTACTTTCATGAATAAACAGTTGAATAAAAATTGACTTTAACACAATTGTCGGCAAAATTGCGTCGATAATCATATCTCCTATACACGTAAAATAATCATGAAAGAGATTTTAATGCTTTAATGCATTTTTGATATTTTTTTGTTGTCTCTCCCTTGATTCAAACAAAAAAAATGATTCATTACTTTCATATTCATTTCTGCACAGTGGGAAAAAATAGCAACATCATTTATATCATTCGTGAATATTCAATAATAAAAGTGACGATTTTTTTTTTGCTGTCGTCTCTTCTCTGATTACATTTACTGTCAATGAGAGAACGATAGAGAAAAAGCGGTTGAATGTGGTGAGTTAATTTGATGGTGTTGTTGTCGTCGTCGTCATCGTTGTTGTTGTTGAACGAAATTCATTTATGTTTATCAAGAGGGAATTTCATTGTGTGACGCGCGTGCTGGCGTACAAATTGAATGTCTCGTGCTGTGCGATAAGGGTTTCATTTTTCTCGAGGTGATTTGAAAAGCACACATTTCAAATTCCTTCAATGTTTGCTGCCTATGTGCAGTCAAGCAGAATAACATTGAATAAAATCCCATATCGATTTTGTGCTCTAATGTGTCTGCAAACAAACACTGAGTTAAAGTGAAAACAATGAAAATGCAATAATAATAATTGGCTGTGTTAATAATGCGTAACATAACAGAGTGTTATGATTTTGAATTGTCAAATATGGGTTTATTGTCTGTAATAATCACGAACAACAATCTTTTGTAGTACACAAAATGCTGTGCACTCAATTCTGTCTTTTTACTTGCGTTCGTACGTTCATTTATTTTGGTTGCTTGCTTTTTCTCTTTCGCTCTCTCTCTCTCTCTCTCTCTCTCTCTCTCGCTCTCTGTTTCTATTTATCTGGTTTTGATTTTTCCACTTTCTCTTTGTTGCTGGATGTGTATTGTTGCCGTTGTTGTTGCTACTGCTGCTGTTGTCGACACACGATAAATCAATAACCCGGAGTACGTATCGGTTTGGTAAACGATTGATGAAATAATTTCAAACCCCCAAATGACTTGTGCTCATTGATTCGAATAATGCGAAAAGAAAACGACGATCAAAGCATTCGTCCAATGTAAAATGTGATGCATAGCTCTATCTGAATCAGTGATCGATAATTTTAAATGGGAAAATGAGTCAGTCACCATTCAACAGTCTCAATGCAGGAAACGGAAATCAGTCAAGAATATTTCCACGTAGATATGGGTCATATTGAATGATGTGCGCCACGTTTTAATTCATTCTCATTGAGAACTGAAATAAGTTTGTGCTGCTGCTTTTTTGTTCCTTTTCTGATGCTATCTAGTTAGAAACAACGTCATGTCGTTTATATTCTGCACTGCAAAAAAAGTATCTTTAGCTTCGTTAATGAATTTTCGACTCGTAGCGTGTATGAGAAAAGCAAGACAAGCATTTGGCCATTTCAGTTACAGTAAATGTGATTTTGCGACTCAAAAAGTAGAAATAAGTTTGCACTCATTTGACTTTTGTTCTCTTTGTCACATTTTTTTTGTTCATTCATTTGTTCAATCTTTTGTTGTTGTTTTTTTTTGGTTGAAGACGTTGATTTTGTTGAAACAAGCTCGGTTCGTTCATATTGCTTGTGAAAACCCATCCGAAAAGAAACAACTCTGGATATAATCAGAATGTTTTGTACTGGAAAATATACTCTTTCTCTCCCTTTTTGATTGTGATTATGTGTTTGTACCTAAGAGATGTAAAAGTTAACAGAAAGTAATGTATAGAAAGTGTGTTTCTTAGTTGATCGCAAATAACAAACGCAATCGGACGTACACAATTTGTCTCGATAACTTCTTGTTAATGGTAACAATTTTTTCCCCATTTCATTTTCGTATTCCTTTTTTCGATCTTTTTCTCTCTCTAATTTCTCTGTGTCATATACACACACGACGTAGCCAACACAGTGAATGTGATAGCACATGATGCTGATGAACTTACGAGTGATGTTAATAGAGTTCATCACAAAACGATGTGTCTTTTGTTCGCATCATATTTTCTTCTTTTTTTCTCAATCATTTGCCATATATACATCGGGAAGCTTCTTGAATGTTACGACTTACTGTCATATTTCATTTCATCGTTGGTACGGCGAAGTGTTTCTTCAATATGTGTATGTGAGTGTGTGCAATTTAATTCATATTGCTGGCTTTCAACTTGCCACTGAACACAACACATGGATGATGATTTTATGTGTGTTCGTTACTTTTTTTGTTCATTCTTTTCGTGTCACTTTCATAGTGTTTTTGGTGTACGTTTAAGGGACCATTCGCATTTTGAAATCATTCACAGATGGTTCAAATGTGAGCATTTCGTTTGGAGTAGAATGATGGTAAAACACAACGTACATTTTCAAATAATTATAAAATGTCAAGTATGATGACAAAAACTATGTGACAAGACAATAAATGGAAAAACAAAAACAAAACGAAGAACAAGGAAACAAATCCAGAAATGTATACAAAACGCGACTAAGCAGAAACTTGCGCGCTACGAACTTAAATTAGAATTGAAGGTATTTTGTACATCTTGGAATAAATGTGCAAGACGAGAAAATGTGTATAAAATATAAAAATGCGCAAAATGAAAGAGTTTAGCGTGCGGAAGACCGAAAAAAGTGTAACAACCCAACCGAGAAAAAAAAACAGAAAATTAACATTAACATTACTGATCATATTAACCCATTTTTAGCCGGCTGGTTGATTTTTTTTTCGAAAAATTTTCAAGATTTTAAATATGCGCAAACGAAATGGGTTGACGTTTTTTTTTAGATGTTTGATCACATGATTGAGCCCTGTGAAAAGAAAATGAAAATATTTCCACAAAATATTGACTATTTTTTCATTGAATTAAACTGTCTGAGTAAGTCATGTTAAGCTTCGGGATGTCATATTTTAATGCAGCAAGATATAATTTTTGT